GGTCCCAGGTGCGTGGAGGGAAAGGGGCTGAGTGTCCAGTAGGTAAAGTGTTAAGTCAGCATCAACCAGTGATATTTTCAAAGTGTCACAGGCCTTAAAATGTTAACCCCTCTCCATTATTTGTGGGCAGCTATGTAATGGCCACCCAAAGATATAGCAGATCCTAATTGTAAGGCTGGTGGCAGCCCCCTCCCTTCCCTAGATCAAAAAAGAAAAGGCTCCTGAAGCCGGGCGCGGTGGCTCACGCCTGTAATCCTAGCACTTTGGGAGGCTGAGGCGGGCGGATCGCTCAAGGTCAGGAGTTCGAAACCAAGCCTGAGGCGAGACCCCATCCTCTACCAAAATAGAAAGAAATTAATTGACCAACTCAATATCATATATAGTATATACAAAACATTAAGCCGGGCATGGTGTGCATGCTGTAGTCCCAGTACTCGGGAGGCTGAGGCAGTCGGATCGCTGAGCCCAGGAGGATGAGGTTGCTGTGAGCCAGGCTGACGCCACGGCACTCACCTCTGCCTGGGCAGACAAAGTGAGCATCTGTCTCAAAAAAAAAAAAAAAAAAAAAAAAAAGAAAAGGTCCTGAGACCAGACCACCAAGGACAAAACTGCCAGGCCTGCTGCGAGGATCCACCACCCAGATGTCCACCCGGATAAGAACCTTTCAGTTCTTTGGATTCCACAAATACCTCCAGCCCCTCTAAAATCCCCAGCTCTTTCCGCCAGAAAGTCCCTAGCCAGGCCCAAAGGGTATAAAGGCCTCAGCCCCTTCAAACGGCGGCAAGGTGGACTTCTGGGCCACCCCCTCTCTTGCCAGAACCTCGTCCAGGAGTCTATAATAAAGCCACGTGGTTTGGCCCCCATCTTTCTCTCTCTGTGTCTGTCTCTTTCTTTAGCCGCGCTGAAAAACCTTACATTAATTCCATCCAGAAGTGACATTTGGTTTTTTTCTTTTTCTTTCTTTTGTTTTTTTGAGACGGAGTCTTGCTCTGTTGTCCAGGCCAGAGTGAGTGCCCAACGTCAGCCTAGCTCACAGCAACTCTCAAACTCCTGGGCTCAAGTGATCCTCCTGCCTCAGCCTCCCGAGTAGCTGGGACTACAGGCATGCGCCACCATGCCTGGCTAATTTTTTGTATGATATATTAGTTGGCCAATCAATTTTCTTTTTTATTTATAGTAGAGACGGGGTCTCGCTCTTGCTCAGGCTGGTTTCAAACTCCTGACCTTGAGCGATCCTCCTGCCTCAGCCTCCCAGGAGACTAGGATTACAGGCGTGAGCACTGCTCCGGGCCAGAGTGGACATTTCTGGAAAAAAAAAGATCCTAATTCTTAGAACCTGCATATTAAATTTTACCTTATATAAGTAAAAGAGTCTTTGCAGATTAAATGCAGTGATTAAATTAATGTTCCTGGTGAGGCGTGGTGGCTCACGCCTATAATCCTAGCAACTCGGAGGCTAAGGCAGGAGGATCGCTCAAGTCAAGAGTTAAACCAGCCTGAGCAAGAGCGAAGACCCTGTCTCTACTAAAAATAGAAAGAAATTAGCTGGACAACTAAAATACAAGTAGTATATATTATATAAAATTAGCCGGCATGTGGCGCATGGCCTGTATCCCAGCTACTGCGAGTGCTAGCAGGAGATTGCCTGATCCCAGGAGTTTGAGGTTGCTGTGAGCTAGGCTGATGCCAGGTACTTTAGCTCGGGCAACAGAGACTCTGTCTCCAAAAAAAAAAAAAAAGTTCCTAATTTGGGGAGATTATCCTAGTATCTGAGTTGGCCCTAACCCAATTACAAGTGTCCTTATAAGGGGAGGGGGGCGGCCTTTATACACACAGAGTCAGAGGCAATCTGACCTCCAAGGCAGAGACAGGGGTGATGAGGCCACAAATCAAGGAATGCCAGCAGCCACCAGCAGATGCTGGAAGAGCAGGGACGGGATTCTCCCCTAGAGCCTTCGGAGGGAACACGGCCCCAAGGACACCTCGATTTTGGCTCTTCCCACATTTTGGGAGATTTGGACTCAGTGAAACTGATTTCAGACTTCCGGCCTCCACAACTCTTGCAGAACAAATTTCTGTTAAGCCACTAAGTTTGTGGTAACTTGTTACAGCAACCACAGGACGCTGATACAATCATCTAAATAGCCCTGTGTGATCTGGCCCCCGCCAGTGTGTCCAATCACACACACGCTCACTGGGCTCCAGCCCCACGAGGAACCTTCTTTTTGTTCTTCAAACTGTCTAGCTCGGCCCAGCCTCAGGGCCTTTGCACTTACTAATTTCTTCCCCAGATCTTCTCAAGGCTAGCCACTACTCATCATTTATTTACTTATTTATTTATTTTTATTTACTTATTTATTTATTTATTTGAGACAGAATCTCACTCTGCCACCCTGGCTAGAGTGCCATGGTGTCAGCCTAGCTCACAGCAACCTCAGAGTCCTGGGCTCAAGCGATCCTCCTGCCTCAGCCTCCTGAGTAGCTGGGACTACAGGCATGCGCCACCATGCCCAGCGATTTTTTTCTACATATTTTTAGTTGTCCAGCTATTTCCTTACTATCTTTAGTAGAGACAGGGTCTTGCTCTTGCTCAGGCTGGTTTTGAACTCCTGACCTTGAGCGATCCTCCGGCCTCAGCCTCCCAGAGTGCTAGGTTTATAGGCGTGAGCCACCACGCCCGGGGCCACTACTCATAATTTAGATCTCTGCATAAATGTCACCTCCTCCAACAGGTCTTCCTTGACCACCCTATCTAAAAATCACCTTCTGGTCACTCTGTCACATCCCCCTGTTTTATTTTAGTCGCAGCATTTGTTGCTATCTTAAATTATTATTCCTCCCCGGTTTATGACTTGTTATCTCCACTAGAAAATGGGAGCCAGTGAATGAAATCCTGTCACTTGGCAACAAGGATGAACCCAGCGGCATTGTGTTAAGTGAAACAAGCCGGGCACAGGGGGACAGATACCACATAATCTCACTCCTATGTGGAATCTAAAGAAATTGATTTCACAGAAGTAGGGAGCAGAAGAGTGGCTAAAGGAGGCTGGGGGAGGCGGTGAGGGGAAAAGATGACAACAGGGGCAAGTTACAGTTTGACAGGAGGTGTCCTGTCAAATTCTGGTGTCCCATTGTACAGTAGGATGACTATGGTCAACAGTAGTAGTGTATATTTCACAATACAGGAGCTAGAAGAGAGAATTTTCTTTCCTCCTCCTGCGTACCGAGAGAATTTTTTTTTTTTTTTTGAGACAGAGTCTCACTTTGTTGCCCAGGCTAGAGTGAGTGCCGTGGCGTCAGCCTAGCTCACAGCAACCTCAAACTCCTGGGCTCAAGCGATCCTTCTGCCTCAGCCTCCCGAGTAGCTGGGACTACAGGCATGCGCCACCATGCCCGGCTAATTTTTTCTATATATATTAGTTGGCCAATTAACTTCTTTGTATTTATAGTAGAGACGGGGTCTGGCTCTTGCTCAGGTTGGTTTCGAACTCCTGACCTCCAGCAATCCACCAGCCTCGGCCTCCCAGAGTGCTAGGGTTACAGGCATGAGCCACCCCGCCGGGCCACCCTGTCTAGTTGGGCCTGACATGTAGTAGGTGCTTGGCAAACACTGGTTGATGAATGAATGAATGAACTATGTGTACAAACGTCTATGCCTCAAGGTGTGTGCGCGCACGAGGGTTTTAGGGTGCATGGGGAGCAATGAAATTGTTTTATTTTTATTTTTTTAATCTCAGCATATTTCAGGGGCATAAATATTTAGGTGACATATATTGCCTTTGCCCCGCCCGGAGCAATGAAATTGTAACCTTGACATCACCTCCACCTTCCGGGCGACCGTCCTCCCTCACCGCGTGCCAGCCTCTTTGCACGCAGCGTTCTGTGCCTTCCCCGGGACAGCTCCGATGTCCCTTCCTATCTATGACAGACGAGGGCCCTGAAGCTAAGCTACCTTCGAAGTTGCGTGCAGTGTGCTCAGAAGCGAGACCTGCATCTGCAGTCACAAAAGGCCCCGACCCAGCGCTCCCGCGCGCCCACCGT